TTTCCTATTTATAATCCAATTGTAATATATTATCCGAGTGATTTCGCTCTCATGCCTCCTTCGCTGTCATTGCCTTTTAGCTCATCCTATAGGAAGTTGGCATTAAAGTCAAAACTCCAATCAGATTTTAATAAACACAAAGGAATACAACTTTGTATTTATTAATAAATAATTAATTTTATTTTTTCAAAACTGTAGCTGTAGAAGTACCTGCGTTTGACCTGGCTGTCTAGACAGAAGTCAGGTGTTCTACATCCTCCTAGAGCAGAAAGATAGCTCCTCCTACAAGCTTTAACCAGTGCTCAGCCGGATTCTGATAGAAGTCACAAGACTGCTATATACTTCTTACCGTTCATAGCCAGTTCTAATGTATTTATCATGCATGCTATATGCTTTCTCTTTAAGGGCCCATTCTACACCCTCTATAGCATCATTCTGCTTGAAATTACTGTATAATGACTCTACATCATTACTGGCCAATATGCAATTGTTGTTTATGTTTTTCTTTCTTAGTAGATTGATCCTTTACAGTAAAAACTGTTGAAACTGTGATCAGGAGCAGGATTTTGAAAAACAAGCAAACATATTAGCAGAAAGATTTTTTGGAACAAGGGTACAAAAGACACATTTTGGATAGAACTAAAGGGGAAGTAAAAAATATGAATAGAGAAGATCTGTTAAAAACAAAACAAAAGAAAGAAGTAGAGGATTACGGGATCACATTCTGTATGGGATATACCGTATTTTTCGCCGTATAAGACGCACTTTTTCTTCCCCAAAACTGGGGGGGGGGGGGGGGGAAATGTCAGTGCGTCTTATAAGGCGAATATGGAGCGGCCGGTCCGGTATTTCCACTGCGGCCGTGTCAGAATACCGGGCCGGCCGCTCAGCTGTGCAGTGGGACCTTACCTGTTCCTCTATCCAGCGGCGTGCTGTCTTCCCGGCTTCTGTAGTGTGGGCACTGAGCATGACAGCCGGGTGCCAAGTGTGCATGCGCGAGAAGCGGTGCTTTTTGTGAATGGTAAGGCGGTACCTGGGACACATGACAGATCCCAGAAGCCGCCGGACCAATCACAAAGCGCAAGTGCTTCTCGCTCATGCGCACTGGGCACCCGGCTGTCATGCCGAGCGCCATTACAGAAGCCGGGAAGACAGCGCGCGGCTGGATCGAGGAACAGGTAAGATCAAAGAACAACTCCGCGGAAGTAAGAGCGGGTATCTGTCAAATTCAGGTACCCGCTCCCCACCTCCCCACCTCCCCAAAGGTCAGCAGTCATCTGTACTGTCCGCAGTCTCTGGTCATCCCTGTGCTGTCCGCAGTCTCTGGTCATCCCTGTGCTGTCCGCAGTCTCTGGTCATCTCCTGTACTGTCCGCAGTCTCTGGTCATCTCCTGTACTATGTCTGCAGTCCATTAGTTCAGAAATTTTTTTTTTCCTGTTTTCTGCCTCTAAAACCTAGGTGTGTCTTATGGTCAGGTGCGTCTTATACGGCGAAAAATACGGTAATAGACAATATAAACAGATGGAAGAAGCGATAAACAAAACATTGGCCAATTCTTAAAAAATAAATTAATATAAACAAGTATGGAATAACATTCTCAGCTATATATGATAGGAAAAAGGTAAATTATTTGGATTTAGAGATATTTACCCTGAGAGAATGCCTCAACACACGTACATATTTTAGAAGACAGATAGGAATGGTTACATTCCTATCAATAGTGGACACCACCCAAAATGGTTGGGGACCATACCAAAAGGTCAAATCATACGTATCAGAAGAAACTGTGATCAGGAACAGGATTTTGAAGAAGAAGCCAACATATTAGCAGTAAGATTTTTGGAAAAAAGGGTACAAAAGAAACATGCTGAATAAAACCAAAGGGGAAGTAAAAAAATATGAATAGAGAAGATCTGTTAAAAACAAAACAAAAGAAAGACTGCAGTACGTAGGAAGAACCACTAGAGAACTTAAAACAAGATTAAGGGAACATGGTAATATTAAAAAGGGGTTCCGCCAGCACAGTTTGTCAAATCATTTTACGATTCATCATAATAAAGATCCAAAGAAATTAAAATTCTGTGGTATAGATAAGAGTTGAAAATCATTGGAGAGGAACGAATATGAAACAATCTATTTCTCAAAATGAATTCCAGTGGATTTATCATCTCAGGGCTATGACACCGAGGGGATATTGACATCAATTGTTTTATTTCGAATGTTTAATGTTTATCAATAATTAGCAGGTTGTGTATGCCAAATGTAGGATTCACTGCACTTTATGAAGAATTACTTGCACTTTAGGAGACTATAATTTATGAATTATTTGCTTATTTATTCCATTTGTTCACAATTACGTTGAGGGTGTATTTGCAGAGGAAGTACATAGAGTTTCATACATTCATAATATGTGTATTCGGAGGTATTTTGCACTCATATAGGGCAGCGCTTCATTGCTTTAACACTTTATCTAGAGGTCAGCACCTTTATAGAAGCAGCAGCTCTATTTTTTTGCATTGTTTGGCACATTTTTGCCAATTATTGTTGGTACTCGAGTGCGGGTGTCAGGGCTCCCGGGTATGACCAGAGGTATGTGAACTGACGCAGGGAAACGCAGGCTTCAGATATGTTATAAACAATATAGTTTATTAACACTAACAATACATAAACGCAGTGCAATACTAAAACATAACACAGTGCAAACGAACCAAACCACCCACAGATAACAATACATACAATGCAAGCGTCGTCAGGCAGGCCGGGTCAATAACAATCGGGCAGGTAGGAACAGGAGGAGCAGGCAGAGAGTAGTCAGGTCACGAGCCGGGTACAGCAACTAACGGGCAGGTAGGTACAGGGGGTCAGGCAGAGAATGGTCGGGGTCACAAGCCAGGGTCAAACAGGAGAAGTCAGCAGAGGTCCGGATCAGGCAGGGTCGGCAACGAATCAGTCAGACAGGAACAGGGACAGGGATGCAGGTAACAAGATACAGGGGCCCATAGAAAAACACACACCAAGGCACAGACTGCAGGTCTGGCCATCCCTTAAATACACTTCCGTAATCAGCTTCAGGTGTTTGGCTGACTACAGGGTTGAGTCTCTGATTGCTGAAAGCACCCGCTGGCCAGCCCTGGTACTGCAGCCCACAAGGCAGGTGAGTCCCACCATTACTGGCAAGCCCATTCCTGACAGCGGGTTATAAGTGATTACAAAGGGTAGGGAACCAAGTGGCAAGATGCTATCACAAGCCCACAGACCTGAACTTGTGATACTGTAAAAGCACCACAGCCAATCAGACCCAAGGGGATGGAACAGGCAGCACCACACCACTGCCTAGGAACAGGAACTCTGTGCAAGAGGTACACCACTGCTGGCCAATGGAAGTGGAGGAGCTGTCTCTTGAGCTGGGCCTATCACCTGGCAATGGAGATGCTGGCTGGGAGAGGACAGTGGTAACTGACGATGAGTAAAAACAAAGGGGGCGCCATCACCTACATCTGGCAATGGAGATGCTGGGTGGGAGAGGACAGTGGTAACTGATGATGAGTAAAAACAAAGGGGACGCCATCACCTACGTCTGGCAATGGAGATGCTGGGTGGGAGAGGACAGTGGTAGCTGACGATGAGTAAAAACAAAAGGGGACGCCATCACCTACGTCTGGCAATGGAGATGCTGGGTGGGAGAGGACAGTGGTAGCTGACGATGAGTAAAAACAAAAGGGGCGCCATCACATACATCTGGCAATGGAGATGCTTGGTGGGAGAGGACAGTGGTAGCTGACGATGAGTAAAAACAAAGGGGGCGCCATCACCTACGTCTGGCGATGGAGATGCTGGGTTGGAGAGGACAGTGGTAGCTGATGATGAGTAAAAACAAAGGGGGCGCCATCACCTGCATCTGGTGATGGAGATGCTGGGTGGGAGAGGACAGTGGTAGCTGACGATGAGTAAAAACAAAGGGGGTGCCATCACCTAGGCCTGGCAATGGAGATGATGGGTGAGAGAGGACAATGGTAGCTGACGATGAGTAAAAAAAAGGAGGTGCCATCACCTATGTCTGGCAATGGAGATGCTGGGTGGGAGAGGACAGTGGTAGCTGACGATGAGTAAAAACAAAGGGGGCACCATCACCTGCGTCTGGCAATGGAGATGCGGGGTGGGAGAGGAGAGTGGTAGCTGATGATGAGTAAAAACAAAGGGGACGCCATCACCTACATCTGGCAATGGAGATGCTGACTGGGAGAGGACAGTGGTAGCTGACGATGAGTAAAAACCAAGGGGGCGCCATCACCTAGGTCTGGCAATGGAGATGCTGTGTGGGACAGGACAGTGGTAGCTGACGATCAGTAAAAACAAAGGGGGTGCCATCACCTAGGTCTGGCAATGGAGATGATGGCTGGGAGAGGACAGTGGTAGCTGAAGATGAGTAAAAACAAAGGGGGCGCCATCACCTACGTCTGGCGATGGAGATGCTGGGTTGGAGAGGACAGTGGTAGCTGATGATGAGTAAAAACAAAGGGGGCGCCATCACCTGCATCTGGTGATGGAGATGCTGGGTGGGAGAGGACAGTGGTAGCTGACGATGAATAAAAACAAAGGGGGTGCCATCACCTACGTCTGGCAATGGTGAAGCTGGGTGAGAGAGGACAGTGGTAGCTGACGATCAGTAAAAACAAAGAGGGCGCCATTACTTACGTATGGCAATGGAGATGCGGGGTGGGAGAGGACAGTGGTAGCTGAAGATGAGTAAAAACAAAGGGGGCGCCATCACCTACGTCTGGCAATGGCAATGAGGCCTGGACAAGGCAACGGGGGAGCGGAGTAGGAAGAAAAATCAATAACAGTTTACAAACTTCTACACCAATTATAAAAAGGTTGGCCAATATCATTATGCTTTCCATTTGTAATCCATTGTATTAAAATGAATCCAGCTGACCGGTATTTATACAGGAATTAAATAGGGCAACAGGGTTCCCGGTCTACCTGGAAGGCACCTAGCATGTCACCCTGTTTTTCTCTCTACAGCTGGGGAAGTTGGACCAAAGTCCAGTGGTGTCCTTCTGGTGATCTCATCAGCTTCTCTCTGAAGGTTGAGCCGCCCATTGATGGTGACGATACCGCAGCCAACAACATCATGTTCCAGTGTTCCGATATGAAAATCTTTAAGGGACATGGCGGTTCCTGGGGTGATTTTGGAGACTGGAGTGAAATCTGCTACATGGGAATATGTGGCATCAGAACCAAGGTGGAGGAACCCCAAGGAAAAAGAGATGACACGTCTCTCAATGATGTCCAGTTCTGTTGCTGCCAATCTCATTAAAGAATAATCGCAGGGATTTGAACAAACTTTGTTGCAGATTCCTACCTTTTGTTATCCTGAAGAAGTAGATGTTTGTTTGACTGTGTCCATGTGCGGAGTGAATGGGAGTGGTTTTATATTTATCAATCAGCTATGGCACCTGCAAGGGCACTAATAAGGAAATTTGCACCCATTTAAAACGTGATTTCCCTTTGGGAGTATCTCACCAAAAATGACATTTTTGCTGCAGGGGATACCAAAAATCTGACTTGTATCTTAGTGCAGACTTCTGGGAAAATCAGTAAGCCAATCACACTTCCAGGTAGCCATTTTGCATTGCATTTTACAGAAAATTACAGCACTGCAGATTAAAAGGGAAAGGTAATGTTTAACCTCATCACGCCGCATACAAATGTGCGGCCTCCCGGCATCTGGGCCTAGACGCCGAGCAGCCACACATTTGCATTCTATTAAGAAAAAACAAATGTGGTGAGAGCGCGCGCCCTGCATGCTCCCAGCACACATGTCACTGAAAGGTCCCGGTCTCCTCTTTTGATTGGGACCTTTCCCGGTCATGTCACATGATCCCTAAACCCTGCCCCTCCCGCCTCCTGGCTTCTGAGACTCTTAAAGGGCCGGAAGGCGCCGGCGTGAAGGGGTTAATAACATTCAATTACAATATGACTTGACTTACAATTGTAAACATTATATAGTTTTTGGTTATTTGCTCTCTCCCCCCCCCCCCCCACAAATGTGGAGTTACCCTTTAGCTGCCAAGAAAACATATTATATAGTTGTGATTTCATTTTCATTGAAAAGACTACTCCAGCCAAACAGCTGCTAGTTGCACTTCCCTTGTGCATGCAATCGGGTGCAAACTGTAAGCATCCGCAGGTGACATTTAGATCAGGGGTCTCCGAACTTTCTAAACAAAGGGCCAGCTTACTGTCCTTCAGACATTAGGGGGGCCGCAATGTGGCCGTTGGGAGTAGTAAAGGTCCTGACATCAGTGGGAATAGACAACGCCCCATCTTTTGTGTCAGTGGGAGGAGTTGGACCCCAGTTTTGGGGTCATTGAGAGGAATTACACCTCATTATTGGTGTCATTGGGCCCCTTTACTGGCGTCATTGGGAGGAATTGTGCCCCATTGTTGGGTGTCATGGGAGGAATTGTGCCCCATTGTTGGGTGTTATTGGGAGGAATAGTCCTCATTGTTGGGTGTTATTGGGAGGTATAGTCCTCATCGTTGGGTGTTATTGGGAGGAATTGTGCCCCATCGTTGGGTGACACTGGGAGGAATAGTCCTCATTGTTGGGTGTTATTGGGAGGAATAGTCCTCATCGTTGGGTGTTATTGGGAGGAATAGTCCCCATCGTTGGGTGTTATTGGGAGGAATAGTCCTCATCATTGGTGTTATTGGGAGGAATAGTCCTCATCGTTGGGTGTTATTGGGAGGAATAGTCCCCATCGTTGGGTGTTATTGCTAGGAATAGTCCTCATCGTTGGGTGTCATTGGGAGGAATAGTCCTCATCGTTGGGTGTCATTGGGAGGAATTGTGCCCCATCGTTGGGTGTCATTGGGAGGAATTGTGCCCCATCGTTGGGTGTCATTGAGAGGAATTGTGCCCCATCGTTGGGTGTTATTGGGAGGAATAGTCCCCATCGTTGGGTGTTATTGGGAGAAATAGTCCCCATCGTTGGGTGTTATTGGGAGGAATAGTCCCCATCGTTGGGTGTTATTGGGAGGAATAGTCCCCATCGTTGGGTGTTATTGGGAGGAATAGTCCCCATCGTTGGGTGTTATTGGGAGGAACAGTCTTCATCGTTGGGTGTTATTGGGAGGAATTGTGCCCCATCGTTGGGTGTCATTGGGAGGAATTGTGCCCCATCGTTGGGTGTCATTGGGAGGAATTGTGCTCCATCATTGGGTGTCATTGGGAGGAATTGTGCTCCATCGTTGGCTGTCATTGGGAGGAATAGTCCTCATCGTTGGGTGTTATTGGGAGAAATTGCGCCCCATCGTTGGGTGTCATTGGGAGGAATTGTGCTCCATCGTTGGCTGTCATTGGGAGGAATAGTCCTCGTCGTTGGGTGTTATTGGGAGAAATTGCGCCCCATTGTTGGGTGTCATTGGGAGGAACTGTGCCACTTCAGTGGTATCAGTGGGTGAAACTATGCCCCATTGTTGGTATCAGTGGATGAAATAGTACCCAAAGGGTCAAATAAAAGAAAGCAAAGGGCCACATCTGGCTCCCAGGCTGCAGTTTGGAGACCACTGATTTAGATGATGGTTATTAGGGATGAGTGAAATGTACCTGGATTTGGTTCAAAGCTGGTTTGGCAAACATTATCTGAACCCCAAGTCAATCGGCAAGGGATTGTCAAAAAAAAGGTCACGATGAGCTGTGCAGTGGTCTGGGGGACATAAATTAAATATATTTTTTAGTGCCGAGAAGGTCTTTCAGGCAGCTTAAAAGTTAACACTGAAAATACAAAAATCTTTCAAATTGCAAGCTTGGGTGATGCCTTTCTGTAGTTGATTCTAAGCTTTCTTAGATTATTTGGTGTAAAAGTGATCGGCTAATTGGAAGCCACAGGAACAATATAGTTCAAATCTATTGCAATGTATATAAAAATAAAACAAATATAAAAATACAGCTAAAGCAATCAACTTCATACACATTGCCAAACAGCTTCAAAGCAAGCCATGTACCATAGACTGTAAGGACCCTTTCACACGGGCATTCCTTTGTTTTCATCAGTTCAGTCCAGGGGCGGACTGACAACTCATGGGGCCCCCGGGCAATAGGGGATCATGGGGCCCCTGTGTCCTTGCCCACACCCAAAAAAGCCTATGAAAAAGGTACCAGGGGCATCTCATGGGGCCCCTACTGACCCCGAGCCCTTGGGCAGTTTCCAAATAGTCAGTCCGCCCCTGGTTCAGTCAAGCTTTTTCCAAGAAAAAACAGATCAATTCACATCAGTTTTTCATCAGTTTACATCCATTTACATCCGCTTTCGTCCATTTACATCCGTTTACATCAGTTTTGTCCGTTTATATCTGTTTTCATCCATTTTTCATCTCTTTATATCCGTTTGCATCCATTTTTGTCTGTTTACATCTATTTTTGTCCGTTCACATCTGTTTTCAGCCGTTTTTCATCTCTTTATATCCGTTTACATCCATGTTTTGTCTGTTTACATCAGTTTTTGTCCGTTCACATCTGTTTTCATCCATTTTTCATCACTTTACATCCGTTTACATCCACTTTTTGTCTGTTTACCTCAGTTTTTGTCCGTTTACATCTGTTTGCATCCATTTTTTTGTCTGTTTACATCAGTTTTTGTCCGTTTTCATCAGTTTTTGTCCATTTACATCTGTTTTAATCCATTATTCATCTCTTAACATCCGTTTACATCCATTTTTTGTCTGTTTACATCCGTTTTTGTCCGTTTACATCTGTTTTCATGCATTTTTCATCTCTTTAGATCCGTTTACATCCATTTTTTGTCTGTTTACATATGTTTTTGTCCGTTTACATCTTTTTTTGTTCGTTTACATCCTTTTTTTGTTCATTTACATCTGTTTTCATCAGTTTTTCATCTGTTTACATCCGTTTTCATCAGTTTTTGTCCATTTATTTTATTTTTTTATTGTCGGCCTGTAATTTTTAGGAATAACTGCCTGAAATCTGTCCGAACAAGAGTCTAGTAAACATCCCGGGGATGATAAAACTTGAAACACGAAATCATAAATTATAATTTAATAAATAATCATAAAAAATAATAATATAATAATAATAAATGTAATTCAATAATATAATCAAACCAAAAACACTGAAATGTGAAATATAGCGCCAAAGTTCGCACATCGCTGAGCTCAGTTGCAGAATCGTTTTCAGTGTCTGATGAGGAATTTCCCCCACGAATCATTATCACTCAATTCTGCAAGTGGTTCTGATTTACTATCGCTGTTCTCTAGCCGGTCTAAAACCGCTTTTGACCTAAAGGGACGCTTTTTGGACACCATGGACGTTTCTCAGTTTCCAGGCAGAAAGGGCGGTAAAAATGCAGGCAGGGCGCCGGACAAAGCACTCGGGACAAAATGTATGTGAAATGGTTTGATACAGGAATGTTATACTATGTGATTTTAGTGTATTTAGTGAATGTCACTTTTTCACATTTTCAAATTTCCTGCCAGTTCTGTCCCCCGTACGTCCCGACGTCGCAGGGAACGGAACCCGGAAGAGAGATGCCGGCATCGGCCGGAGGACATTACAGGGGACACTGCAGGGGGGACATCGCTGGAGCGCAGGACAAGGTAAGTGCTGGAGGGATCCCGGAGCAACGCTGCAGTGTATTCCTGAGTGTAGCTCAGGGTTACCGCTTGTGGTGCTGAAACTTTACCCTGAGCTACACTCGGGAATACCCCCAGGGGGGTTAAAGAAGACAAGGATCATCTTTACCGTTTTTAGGACATTTACACATTTAGACGCTAAAAGGCTTGGACTTTCGGGGGAGAAAGTGTATTATTTTGGCGTTTGGGGTTTTTGTAGACACTATTGGTAAAGCGATATATTCACTTATATTAAAAAAAAACCCTGCCTACCATAATATGGTGCCCTTTACACCTCGGCAGTAAAGTTGGCTCTTATCCAGACTTAGTTTGCAAACTGAGGAGGGCACCATAGTATGGGAGGCAGAGCACTCGCTGATTTTTTTTTTTTTTTTGTAGCCTTTTGTGACATTGTACAATGTGACGTAGGTCTTTGACGTGGTGACGTGTTTCCGGCGTGGCGGCCATCTTGGTACACCTGTGGATTCAGCTGTACACCCAAACAGATATATCCTCATCTGAAAGCATGAGGTTTTTTTCTTGAACTGGCTGCTACGTAAGTGTAATGCAAAAAATGCTGTTTGTCCCTATGGTATAATTAAATATACTACACTATGGGAGGATTCCTTTGTCTCATTTGAGAGATTGATACTACAACTTTTCCTGGAGAAGAGCCAGTGTGGG